GCTTTGTGAGTTGAGACTGATGGGAGGTATTTCCCAAGTGACGTGGCAGAAAGGGAGAGCACCACTTCCAAAATTCCCCCCTGGGAGCTGGGAACCTGGCATCCTTTCATAAATCCAGCTTCCAGCCACTGCAAGGTGGACATTGCTTCCTCAAGGAGCTTGATATGTGTTGCCTTTAATGTGACATATCAAAATAGTAAACCTACTTTATAATAGTGTATCTTATATATAACATTACATAAAACGTATTTAAAGGAAATGAAAATTCTGCAGGGTTTGTTTCATATTTTATTAGTTTTATGAGCCTTGTCCTGTTTCCCCGCTGAGGCACTTCATTACAGATCTCTGTTCCTCCCTTCTGAAATTCTGTAATAGGAAGCTGTTGGGAAATCTGGGCAGGCTGTGACTGTTTGCTAGATTTGGCAGAATATAGTGCAACCACAAACCCGCGAGGATTAATAAGCTGAAAAAGCACAGGCTTCTCGTATGTAATTTGTGCTTCTTAACGATAAGAGTGCTATTGGGGAGAAAAAACCCAGCAAATGGCAGCAGTCATAACTGGAAATGCATTGCCCTCAGACCTACCTTGGCGTTATTACTGTAAAAAATACGGTTTAGGCAACCAATCAATATACTGGGTAGGGCTTTACTGTTGTTTTCAATAGATGCCATTTGAACTCTCTTATTTTTTTGTGATCATATCAACGTGTTCATTACAGTAAATATCTGATTAGCTTATGATAAATTTTGCTTTCCATCCTGGGACTGCAGCGTTTTTTGTTTACCTCTCAGATATGTTGTTTCTCCTTCCAGTGTTTTTCTCTTGCCTGTTGAAAACATGTCAAACTGAATTAAAATGTTTTATGCACATTGTAATGAAAACCATATGTCTTGTATTAGGGGTGACTGTGCAAAAGCTTTCAGCTGAATCAGGTTTAGCATATGATTTCATGCATTTGCATATATGCTGTGAATGCCTGCCTGCACAGTTAATTGCTGTGCACCAGCCAGCCTCTCTCCTTCTTGCACATGGAAACCAGATTTAGGAGATGTGTTCAAGGGGCCTCTGAAAGCCCTTTGTTAAATTTCTGCCACCAACGTGACAGGAGGGCTGGGATGTTTTTCCAGTCTGTGATGGAGTTTGCTCCCTTTCTGTGTGCTGCTAAGTCACCCCTGCCAAAGATGACATTTTCCAGCTCCTAAAAATACTCCTGACCAGCCTATCCATTTCCCTTCAAACAGACCAAATACCACTACCAGGTACATAAAAAATCTCCTGAGGTGACACTACGTGCTTATAAAAGGTAGTTGTCCGTAGGTGGATTTGCACATACATTTTATAAAACTGTTAAATGCACGTTAAGTATCATGTTATACAATTTCTGTATTTTTTGAAACTCCGGCCTCGATGTTTCTCTTGAGGTTGGCGTAGCAAAGCGGCATCCTTCTGTCTCTGATCCAAAGAGCCTTTTTGCTTGAACAGGAAGATAAGTTCCCCAGACTTTTCCCTTCTGCTTTGTGAACGTATGTTCCCCCCACGACAAAGGTCATTTCAGGCTCAGAAGAGAAAATTTACAGGAGCCATTTTTAAAGTGTTGTTAGAACAGCCCAAAACTGCATATAGAAGCACAAAAAATAATTAGGCCAGGCTGATTTCTGTGTGAAGAGTTTCCTTAAGATATATAAAGCAGAAAAAAAAAAACCAACTTGCAGTGCTGTTTGTTCCAACATCTGCTTGTGGCTGCTTTACAAATCCATGAATTAAAAACAATTAAGAAAAACACAAACCCAGATCATAGTGATATGCAGAGTATACATGATGGCTCTCAGCCAATATCAGTAATTAGTTTGTAGTGACTGTTTTTAGAGAAGTGCTTGATTGATTGTGGTTTCACAGCATACACAAGTCACATTCGGTATTCATTTTGAGATCTGCAGTGCTTATAATTTGCATTAATGTAGTTCAGATTACTGCCAAGACTATAGTATTTAGATGAGATCAGAAAACTGCTTAATGAGATAAATTTTAATTATTTGATAACAACTCTTCCTCCCAAGTAAGAAGAGTAAGCAAGCAAGATAAATGATTAGTTTAGATCAGCCAACCAGCAGTCTGAACAGAAGGGATCATTTGTAAAATCAAGTTTAGATCCAAACTCAGGGAAGCAGGATCTGCCTTGCAGTTCTTCCACAAAGTCTTCTGTCTGGTATTGAGCTGGAAGTCTGCTCACCCAGCAGGTTTAAACAGTTTATGGAGAGTCACACTGAAAGTTCTGCTCCACGTCCCCTCAGACTGCATCTTTGCCAGCTGCCCAAATTACCAGCTGTTACTGCACTGTGCACTCAGCTGAAATGGGATTAACAGATCTGTCTGGTGAGTGAGCACTGGCAAGAGGTTGGATGGGTGTCCACCCAAGAGTGGGGAGTGATGGCTTCACTGGCCAGCACAGTAGGTAGCGGAGGCGATGCCTGTTGGTACCCTCAGGACTGACGATGCCAGGCATTGCTGTGCCAAGCTTCTGGGAGTGCAACTCGCAAATCTGAGCTTGATGACTAAACTGCGTATAAAATAAAAAGGGATGGTTAGATAGGAAAATCCAAGATTCACAGCTGAGCAGTTAGAAACGATGAGAATTCAGTGCTCTCCTTAGACCAAAGGAGTTCAAATCCACACCTCCCATAGGAGTTCCCAAACCACTGTGACCTACTGGTCATCCTCAGCTTCCTCCGCTGACCCTTGACCTCATGGTAGTGGAGAGTGTGAGACATGGGGAGAGGTAGGGCATGTGGGAGCAGCTTGTGTCACCCAAAGACTGGAGCTGTCCACGTGGAGAAGAGTCCTGTGTCCTGTTCCTTGCTCCCAGAATTATATCTGCTTTTACGCAGTTACTGTTTGGTGTGAAATAGAATAGTAAGTCCAAGATAAGAGTCACACATACAGTAATAGCAAATCAAGTAAGTAATAAGTGAAAGGTCAGGGACTGGAACTAAAACAGACTATCAGCTACGGGCTTGACACTGTGAATCGAGTACACTTCCCACTAGGAGACTTTGTCCTTAAAATAGGTCATTTTTAAGGGTGTTATCTGAAGAAAAGCCTGAAATGCGAAAGCAAGACTTCATCACTTCTTTGCAGCTTCTTTTTCTTATGTTTGTCAGTGCATGTGAACAGTGTGGTTTTCTTTCCCAGATGGCTTGTGGTGCATAAAAACAATCTTGCAGGAAGAACTCCATATTAAATAGAAAAGCAGCAGCATTACTGTTTCCTGGAAGTGTACTGCTTATGCTGTTAAAGATTGGAACTAGAGATGCAGCTGTGAGTTAAAGGTTTCAAGATAAATGGAGCTTAAAAATACAGGTCCTTTCAATAGTGGGCATTACAACTGAATTCTGTACTTTCCCAACTGCTTCTAATGTCTTTGCTGGAGTTTTTTACACAGCCAGGCACTGTCTCTTCTCCTGAGGTGTCTAAATGAAGTTATCTACAGAGATGGCGTGCCACTTACTCCTCTAGTTGCTGCACCAGCATGGTGAACATACATGCATATTTTGGTCTCTTTGCCATATAACAGAATGCTTTTGAAGGCAAGGAAGCTCAGCAAATTTAAGTGCTTTACACTTTGAGGACAAACTGTCTCTGTCAGCACTGTTTTATTTACAGCTCTGTTTCACTGGGTGACTATATGCAAAACCTAGCATCAAGACTGATAGATTTATAAAGAGTTCATGTTTATGGAGTCAGAAATAGGTAGGGTCTGTGGTTTATACACTTGGCAGCTATGAAACAGTGGTGAAGTTGCAAATAAGATACAGAAAGACTAAATTTTAATAAGTTGATATGCATCCTGAGTTTGGGGAATCCTGTACTGCTGCTCAGCTGTAATGTTCCTGTCACAGATATTACTTGAACTTTTTCCTTTTTTCCATATTTTGATCTTACTATTTAGATTGCAAATGGACAATAAAATGCACACAAGTACATTTGAGCTTTATTCTTATAGAAGCAAAAAAATTAAATGCTAAAGTGCAAGCAAAATTTTAATATCGAGGCCAGAAGACCATACAACAAGGGATCCAACCATCTGTAGTGGCCAGAAGTAACAGACTAGGATGCCAGGCAGGCATGGGGGCTTATTGTGTGACTCTAAGAAATGTATGTACTGTCTCTATATACATAGCTACGTACATGACGTGGTATTTCTGTGCTTGTATACTTCCCCAGTAAGGCGCAATGTACCTAATCTGTTCTACCTGCAAAAGCTGGGAACGCGGTGTCTGGTATGGTCACCGTACCGTGTTGTTATCCTTGCACTATGACTGAGGCAGTGCAGAGAGCAGAGTTAAAGGTGGGGCACTGCAAAGTGGGATAAACACGCACCAGTGCCAGCTGGAGGCATACATGCCCATGCACAGGCAGCTCTTTCTCCATCTTCTCAATCCCACCGTGAAATTTGTAATCACATCCCATGCAGGGTGGGAAATTTGCCCTTGAGTAACTAGCAGGAGGTTTCCCAGCTGATTCCCGTGCTGCAGCAGGACAGCGTTAGCTCCCTGAGCTGTGGTCTCGACCCACGGCGCAGACGAGCACACGCATCTGCCGGACCATCACCTCCCTCTCTGCCTGTGCCTGGGCCGTGCCTGCTCGCGCTGCCTGCACTCCTCGTCACATCATGGGGTGCAGCACGTGGTCGCAGGGTTGCAGGCTCCCTTCTCCTCCCCTCCTTGTCAGCTGGAGCTGGGTGGCTGTCACGGCAGCAAGGAGGCTGAAGGGCAGCCCAAAGCGTGATGCTGTCTGCAGCGCGCTCTTGGCTCGGTGCCATTCCCCATCGAGCGGTAAAGTGCAGGGTCAGAGCTCAATGCTGCACGATTCCAGTGCTGCTGCTCAGATACCCGTTCCAGGCAAAGAGCAATCCTGGAAAACGTTACAATACTTTGTTGGCCATCCTTGCGTTGTTCTTCCCATTGCACAGAGCAGTGCACAGCTCCTCCACTCCCGTGGCATGGGTGTGCTGCTGCTCGAAGCCCGCTGCGAGGCGAGGGGAGGCTGGAGTGATGGATCCCAGCGACGGATGCCATTCATGTGGCACAAGCATTTCCATCAGAGCATATTCCTGAGTGGGCTCACCTGCTGGCAGGCTGTTGGTGCTGTGATACTGAGTGGCTGGAGCATGGAAGAATATGTATGAATGAATTTCAAATGAGATACTGCTGAAGCTGGTGGCTCAACACGTAGCATCTTTTGCAGGAAAGGATGGGTAAGATGGTCCTCTTAACAGGAAAGTCTCAGGCCAGAGCTAAACAAGTGTTATGGTCAGTTAGGACAAAAGAATATGTTTTTGAGAAATGTCAGCCTCTTTCATGGTTAATGCTGAATCAGCAGGCTCTTCTGGGGCTTACATGTGTGAACTTTTGCAGTCACATTGTCACAGCAACAAAAATAGTCAACAGGCATCCTTAAGGAGCTGTCAGCCTGGAGAGTGGCGTTAGGAGAGATGAGAGGCCATGTTCGGCTCCTGCCCACATGGCTGCTAGGCAAGGAGTTTCATCTCTTTGTTAAGACATTTGTAAGATAGAAGTGCACACTTACCCATGTTGCAATTGATATTATATGGCTAGATGCCATGTTTTTTTGCTTAGAGATGTCTACCAAATGGGAGAAAATATTTTTTGAAGTCTCCTAGTAACATTGCTGTCAGGTTCTGCTACATGCAGAGCTGGCTTGAACATTACTAACACACTTGGAAATGATACTAGCAGTGACCCCTTTAATTTATAAAATGTTCTCAAAGATCCTATAAATAGCCACATGCCTAATTTTAAGTGTAAGTAGTCTCCTGTGCTCAGTGTTAAGCTTGTGTGCAGCTGTTATCAGAACTGGGGCCAGAAAGGTTAATTCTTGCTTTGCAGACACAGTTCCTGGTCTCAGATGCAGTTCAGTGTTTCAGAAAGCTCAGCCTTCAAGGTGGCTGCATTTTCTGGCTCTGCTGACTTACCGGCAGGGCTCAGCAGCCCTTCCCAGCGCTGCGCTCCAAGCAGGCGGGTCAGGGAGAGGTGATTATTAAGCCTTGCTTCCTTGACATGCTTTCGATAGCGAGATCTGATTATGATGTGGTCTACTTAAGCGGAGATAAGCCTCTGCTAGGGCTCCTGTTCTCTGTGCTGCAGCCAGGACTTGACTT